TTCTGTCTTTCCTTCTTTCTTTCTTTCATCTCATTTCTTTCCCGTTTCTTTCTTTCCTTCTTTCTTTCTTTCTTTCTTCTTTTCTTTCTTTCTTTCTTATCAAACTCATGTTGTCTTCTTTCATCTCTTCTTTTTCTTTGTTTCTTTCGTAAAAATTTATTAAACTCATTATTTCCTAACTTCAAATTTCTTCCATTTCTCTCTCTCTCTCTCTCTCTCTCTCTCTTTCCTTTTCATTTTTCATCATTTTTCTCCAATCTCACTCATTCTTTACATTTTATCTCTCCCCTCTCTCTCTCTCTCCCTCTCTTAGTTTGATTTATTTTTCTCTTTCTTCCTTTCATATTCTCTTTCTGTCTTTCTGCTGTTTTCTTTCATTGACATTTTTGAATTTACTCTTTCCTTAAATTCATTTCTCTCTATTTTTTCATTTTTTCATCGGCCGAATATTTTCCTTCGTTTGTCATTGTCTTTCCATTTTTCATTCTTTTTTTCAATTTTTTTCTTTCATTTTTTTTTCGACGCTTTCTTGATTTTCTTCGAATTATTATTATGCATTTTTTCTTTCTTTTCCTTCTTCGTTTTTCTCGACGCTTTCCTCTCGAATTTCATTGACTTTCTTCTTCATTTCTTTCATTTTTCCTCATTTTTTCTTTTCCTTTCCGATCATTATCTTCCCCGTTTCCTATTCTTATTCCATATTCTTTTTTAGCGCATCTTCCTTCTTCTTCTTCTTCTTCTTTTCTTCTTCTTCTTCTTCTTCTTCTTCTTCTTCGCCTTGTGATATTTTCTTTACATTTTCCTTTCTTTCTTCTGTTTTTGTTTTTCATTTTCTTTCTTTTCTTCTTCTTTATTTTCATCTTCTTATCATTCTTTTTTCTTTGCCATTTCCCTTTCTTTCTTCTTTCTCATTTTCATTTTTATTTTCTTTATTTTCTCTTTTTCATTTTCCTTTTCCTTTCTTTCTTTTTTTCTCTTTCATTTTCCTTTCTTTCTTTTGCGTTTTTTCATCATCATCATCATCATCATCATGCCATATTTTTATTTTCATTTCTTTTTTTTTCTCAGCCATTTCTTCTCCTCCTTTTTTTGTTACGATGATCATGCTCGTTTCATATTTTCTTGTCTTTTTCTTTCTTTTTTTATTGTTTCTTTTTCTTCTTCTTCTTCTTCTTCTTCTTCTTCTTCTTTTTCTTTTACTTCTTCTTGTCTCACTTCTTTTTCTTCTTCTATTTCTTCTTCGTCTTGACATATTTTCTTTACTTCTTTCTTTCTTTCTTTCTTTCTTTCTTTCTTTCCCAGGGTCTTCGTATTCTTCTTTTTCTTTTTCATTATCAACTGCCTCATCATCATCATCCTGTCTTAGACCTTTTTTCCTTCGTTTTTTCCTAAGCATCTTCTTACTCAGCACCCCACCACCACCACCACCACCATCACCATCATCATCATCAACATCATCATCATCATCATCATCATCATCATCATCTTATTATTATTATTATTATTATTATTGTCATATATTATTGTTTTTCTTTTTTCTCAGCACCATATTATTATCATCGTCATCTTGTCATAAATTCTTGTCTTTTTCCTTTCTTTCCTTTCTTTTTGTCTCTCCAAATTGCTTTATTCTTCTTTTCCTTAGTTTTCATCCTCCTCTTTCTCCTTCTCCTTCTCCTACTCCTCATCATCATCATCGTCATCGTCGTCGTCTTCATCTGTCTTCATATATTTATTCTCGTTCATTCCTTCATTTTCTTTTTTGTTTTTTGTTTTTTTTGTTTATTTTTTTTTCTCTCGTTTGACATCTTATCTGGAAAGGCCATAATGGCCGCCAGCTATTACTGGTCAACCTCAGCCAATGTACGCCCAGTGACATCATTTATAGGCGGCGCAGGCATCAAATGCATGTTTCAACGAAATACGGTGGGGATGATGACAAGAGGAAGGTATAAAAATGGACGGGGGGGCTCTTCGATGGATAAAGGGTTAGTTTAGTTTGCGGAGAATAGACAAAGTAAGGGCAGACGTGGCAAGAAAAACCTGAGCAGGTATGGCGGTCTAATGAGTTTACCGATTGATACGAAGAAGAATGACAATGAGTAACTGTTTGAAAAAAATAAATTGATGATTTACTTTCTTCAAGAAGTCCTGCTTTTAAGTAATATGAAAAAAAAAATAAGCGAATCAAAATTTAGCTTCGAGAAATTTCATAAAATCAAGTAGGTGGTGGTAACAGATGTAAAAAAAGAAATATTTTTTACCAAAACTTTCGAAAAAAAACAAGACATTTAAAAAATAATTTTCTTCCACTGTAAATAAGTCCTGAAGATCTAATCAAATTAATGATTATTAAGTTGACATCTCTATCAGTTTGAATTTTGTTCATGAATTTCAAACGGATAGAGATGTCAACTTACTAATCAATGATAATTTTTTTTTTAAATAAAAAAGATTACTAGAAGTCAACTTATATTTTAAAATAAAATTTTATTCTTTTAATGTACTTTGTATGAATATTTTTTTTCTATTCCATTATTTCATAGAAAATCCCCAAAATTTTTAGAAAAATTTAAATCACTAACAAACATCAAATTAAATTCTTTGTAGACAGTTTAGACATTCAAATTTATATCCAACATTATAATCTTTATGAACCCCCAAAATAACACTTTCAAAGTAAAACAAAATGACAGCGTCTTTTTCTAGCCTGTTATTTTTCCAAAGAAAATTAGTGACACCTTCTCTCATGACTTCCTTCTCTCCTTTTCTCTTTATGTGTTTTTTCTCCTCTACCCCTTCAATATCAATACATAACTTCCGTTAAGTTAACCATTTAAATGTGTCAATGCCTGGACCTCCTCAAGTAATTTTGAGTATGAAAGAATAGAAATTTTAAATTACATTAACTCACTCATGTCTTCTTCTCTCTCTCCCCCTCACGTACTCACTTCGTTAATTTGCATATTCTTAATACGGCCCGACAAAAATGTGTAAATTTCTTTTCATTTTTCGTTTCAACATTTGGAAGTAAAGTCTAATGATCCGCAGTCCTTTTAAAAGGGTTGTGGTGAAATAATTTATTACATGGAACCTTAAAGTGGTCTGTTTTTATTTAAATTATTTGCTCTGGATTTATATTGAGCTCTCTGGAGTTTATCCTCCTTAGGTCTACCCATACGAATTACCTAGTTTTCCATAAACTATATATATATATATATATATATATATATATATATATATACAAATATAAAGAAAAAAAATTGAATATAAATTCAAACCATCATAATGCAGTGTAACCCGGATGTAAGAGAGTTGTCGGGACCGGAGAAGAAGTCTCTTATATCCGGGTTTCTCTTATATCCGGGTTTGGTCTATTTTATATACATTAACACAGGCTCTAATTTGGGACCAGAGAGAATCTCTCTTATATCCGGGTTTCTCTTATATCCGGGTCTCTTATATCCGGGTTACACTGTATTAATTTAAAAGAAAGTTCACTACAAAAGAAGAGCAATAATTATTTATTATAAGTTATAACATGCGAACATACAAGTAACCACTACAGAAATGCAATTTTGTTTCGATGTCCAATTCAGACATCTCATTTTTTTCTGTTTTACCTTGTGTATTTCTTTCTTTTCTTTTTATGGGAATTTTTTTACGCTTATATAAGCTGAAAGCTTAGATTAGATTAAAAAACGTATCAATATGGTGATTTTCTTTCTTCTTTCAATGTTAATGTTATTAATCTTATCAGACGATATGAAAGGAATTTACTTAAAATAAATAGACAAAACTTGTCTATATTATTTAATGAAACATGCATTAATATATATATATATATATATATATATATATATATATATATATATATATATATAAGGTTAATGATCAGATATATAAAAGGTTAATGATCATATATATATAAAAGGTTAATGATCAGAATTGAATCAGACGAGGAAACAGTAGTATTAAAAAAGTGCTCAATACACGCAAGAAAAATCAAAGTAAAAAGTATATATATATATATATATATATATATATATATATATATATATACCCATAGATTGGTGTATACGGAATAAATTCAAATAACCAACAATTACTATTCTTAAAAGAGTGCTCAATACAGAGTAGAGAAGATATAATTATCTATTTAAATATACTTGTGTTTTGATTGGTCATTCTAGCTTTTGTAACAGCGTTTTCCTCTTGCGAAGGATCGTTAATTAATTTGAAACTTTTAAAACCATTTATTTTACATTCAACATCATCACTTGATAAGACACCGGAGGTGTTGAAACAAAATAAATATAACAAATTTATGTTATAATTTTAAATAAATAATTATATATATATATATATATATATATATATATATATATATATATATATATATATATCGTTGATTGGTGTGAGTTTGTGTCCCTAGGTTTCACGCTATTTGCAATCGTCATACAGATTAATTGTAACATTTTGGATGTATATGTGGTTGCGTATGTCAGTGATTTTATGGTAGTGGCAGGAGAAATTGTCGTCAGAACGCCACTCATACGTACGCAAACATGCATATACCCACGCTCACTTATTGGAGTTCACACAAACATAAACATATATGAACAGTATGGGACTGGACATATATGCGCATCCATATGTCGTTGCGTATATACGTACGCAATTGGTCGCTGTATTCAACGTTGGATTGTGTAGCGAACATCTTTATATATATATATATATATATATATATATATATATAGAGAGAGAGAGAGAGAGAGAGAGAGAGGGGGAGAGGGAGAGAGAAAAATGTATTTTTATTAATTAATCCGACATTTTTTTTAAACGTTAATTTTAGTTGATACCCATATTTGAGTAGACGTTCGGTTTATTCATTAATGCCACTGGAGCTCGCACAAACATAAATATATATGAACAGTGTGGGACTAGGTATATATGCGCATTCATGTTTCCTTGCGTATATATGTACGCAAATGATGATTGTATTCAATGTTGGATTGTGTAGCGAACATCTATATATATATATATATATATATATATATATATATATATATAAACAGATTTCTAGTACTGCCAAGTCTAATCAAACATTTAAGGAATAAAATATGTGGGATCATATTAAACATAAAATACAACAATATCCACGTTTAAAACATAAAATATAAGGTACCTTTCGACCCACACATTTTCAAACACAATCGTCGGTAATCTAAAATGGAGTACTAACATATATATATATATATATATATATATATATATATATATATATATATATATATATATATATATATATATACACACACACAGAGAGGGAAATTTATTTTATTAATTAATCCGGCATTTTTTTTTTTTTTTTTTACTTAAACGTTATTTTTAGTGGATACCCATATTTGAATAGACGTTCCGTTTATTCATTAAGAACAATTTATTTTCGCCGCCCGGGCTGAATATTCGCGAAATCTTATTAGAAAAATATGGGCTCTGCGGCACCATTTGAACCTGCGTTTCCCTAGGGAAAACATTCGATCTTACGTGCTTTGACTTCTCGGCTACGGAGCGCGTCGATGGCAAAACAAAGTCTAAATAATGCCTTTAAGCACTGATTCTTCCCCGACTCTAGAAATATAAATATATGCTAACGTAAACAAAGCAATTCCTAAAGAAAGGGAATGCTACTTTTTTATTTATTACTCCGAGAGATTTTTATTAAGTAAAGGTTATTTTTAGTGGATACTCGTATATGTGTAGAGGGGTGGGGAGATAAAGGTTCGGTATCAAGATATACATTATTAGGACAAGCCAAAAACATATTTTATAGATTTTGTTATTGTGAGAAAAAAATTATTTTCTGATGACAGCGTTTCGATGCCAAATGATCTAAACAGAGGTTTTCCAATGTGTACGGACACACATACACATACGCACACAGAAACACACACAAATAAACGCAATCAGAGAAATACATACACACATATACCAGAAGACAGATAGGAACATCTTGAGATAATAGATAATACGCAATAGATAGATAGATAGATAGATAGATAGATAGATATCAGGACAAATCGAGAAGATAGATAGATAAGAACATCTTGAGATAGATAGATAGATAGATAGATAGATAGATAGATAGATAGATAGATAGATAGATAGATAGATAGGAACAGATCGAGATGGACAGATAGATATAAAGAAAGAAAGAAAGATAAAAGAAAGAAAGAAAGAAAGAAAGAAAATGAGATAGATAGATAGATAGATAGATAGATAGATAGATAGATGGATGAATAGGAACAGATCGAGATAGATAGATAAAAAAGAAAGAAAGAAAGAAAGAAGAAAGAAAAGAAAGAAAATGGAATAAGATAGATAGATAGATGAATGGGGACAAATCGAGATAGATAGATAGATAGATAGATAGATAGATAGATAGATAGATAGATAGATAGAAACAGATCGAGATAGATAGATATAAAGAAAGAAAGAAAGAAAGAAAGAAAGAAAGAAAGAAAATGAGATAGATAGATAGATAGATAGGGACAAATCGAGATAGATAGATAGATAGATAGATAGATAGATAGATAGATAGATAGATAGATAGATAGATAGGAAAGGTCTCAGATAGATAGATAGATAGATAAGGACAAATCGAGATAGATAGATAGATAGATAGATAGATAGATAGATAGATAGATAGATAGATAGAAGAAAGAAATGGAGCGAGACCATTTAAAAATACCTTATCACAATCTAAATGAATATACTAAAAAACGGCGCTCTTGATGTCCCTACAGATCCCATTATACTGGCGATGAGGCGGATTCCATGTTGATATGACTAGTCATGGCTCCCCACAGCTTCGTTTGTTTATTATCTGCGAAGTTCCGTGACATCCTAGGAAATAGAGTTTGTTGTTTTCAATTGCCTTCTCTACGATTTGGAATTCAGTGTTTGCCTTCTCTTATACAGGCTGCTAAACAAGGGCTATAAAGTCTAGTCTATACTACTATTTAATCCATAGATGGGGGAGAGCAGAGTTAGATTAATGATTTGATGCTACAAAGTAGAATTGCCGTTCCCATCCCCTCCGCGGCCGATAACATTTACTCGCTCAAGTTGATCACGTGACCTCCTAGCTGTTCGGCCAGCTTCTCATCTTCATCTGCATGATATGAAAGGTAAAAGGATGAAATAAATAGGAGTGGTTTAATTCAAAAAGTGAAGGAACCGAAAAAAGAAATGCGAGTGCTGAGCTGAAGCCACTATTTCGTTTTTGGCAACCTCGTCAATCGGCTAAATTGATGGATGATAACGAGACAAGAGATCACTTCCTGGCGCCGAAAGATTCACCGCTAGAGGTCGTTTTTTTGTTTAGTCAAGATTAGATCAAGTTGCAAAAGTCATCGTTTTATTTATGTATTTATTTAGTCCCAGGTGAGAGTCCGAGAAAATGTCGGGGTGAGTTTAGAAATTACGATATCTTTGTTTCTAATGTATTTATATTTGTAGCTTTTCTTGCTTATTTAAATCTTTCATTCGTTCGATTGTTGCATTACTCTTTCAGTCTTTCGTTCGGTGCTTTACTCTTTCAGTTCTTCGTTCCTTGCTTTACTCTTTCAGCCCTTCGTTCCTTGCTTTACTCTTTCAGCCCTTCGTTCCTTGCTTTACTCTTTCAGTCCTTCGTTCCTTGCTTTACTCTTTCAGCCCTTCGTTCCTTGCTTTACTCTTTCAGTCCTTCGTTCCTTGCTTTACTCTTTCAGCCCTTCGTTCCTTGCTTTACTCTTTCAGTCCTTCGTTCCTTGCTTTACTCTTTCAGCCCTTCGTTCCTTGCTTTACTCTTTCAGCCCTTCGTTACTTTATTCTTTCAGTCCTTCGTTCCTTGCTTTATTCTTTCAGTCCTTCGTTCCTTGCTTTATTCTTTCAGTCCTTCGTTCCTTGCTGTACTCTTTCAGTCCTTCGTTACTTTATTCTTTCAGTCCTTCGTTCGTTGTTTTACACTTTCAGTCTTTCGTTCGTTGCCTTATTCTTTCAGTCCTTCATTCGTTGCTTTATTCTTTCAGTCCTTCGTTCCTTGCTTTATTCTTTCAGTCCTTCGTTCCTTGCTTTACTCTTTCAGTCCTTCGTTCTTTGCTGTACTCTTTCAGTCCTTCGTTACTTTATTCTTTCAGTCCTTCGTTCGTTGTTTTACACTTTCAGTCTTTCGTTCGTTGCCTTATTCTTTCAGTCCTTCATTCGTTGCTTTATTCTTTCAGTCCTTCGTTCCTTGCTTTATTCTTTCAGTCCTTCTTTCTTTGCTTTATTCTTTCAGCCCTTCGTTACTTTATTCTTTCAGTCTTTCGTTCATTGTTTTACACTTTCAGTCTTTCGTTCGTTGCCTTATTCTTTCAGTCCTTCGTTCCTTGCTTTACTCTTTCAGCCCTTCGTTCCTTGCTTTATTCTTTCAGTCCTTCGTTCCTTGCTTTACTCTTTCAGTCCTGCTTTCTTTGCTTTATTCTTTCAGCCCTTCGTTACTTTATTCTTTCAGTCTTTCGTTCGTTGTTTTACACTTTCAGTCTTTCGTTCGTTGCCTTATTCTTTCAGTCCTTCGTTCCTTGCTTTATTCTTTCAGTCCTTCGTTCCTTGCTTTATTCTTTCAGTCCTTCGTTCCTTGCTTTACTCTTTCAGCCCTTCGTTACTTTATTCTTTCAGTCCTTCGTTCGTTGTTTTACACTTTCAGTCTTTCGGTCGTTGCCTTATTCTTTCAGTCCTTCATTCGTTGCTTTATTCTTTCAGTCCTTCGTTCCTTGCTTTACTCTTTCATTCGTTCGTTCTTCAAATTTGTTTTTCGTTCGTTCATATTTCCTTTATCCAAACTTTTGATCGCTTAATTATATTCTGTGTTTTATTCTAACGTTGTTTTTTTCATTCTACCTTACAGTAGGAACTCGGTTTACGAAGTTAATTCGTTCCTGACGCCTGTTCGTAACCCGAAATGTTCGTAAGCCGAAACTATTTTTCCAATAGGAACCAATGTAAAATGGATTAATCCGTTCCAGATCCCAAGATGATTGCTTATTTAAACTTTTACAAAAGTACTTTGTGCACAGGTTTATACACAAAACTAATTAAAACCATTAAATCTACGAATAAAATAAACCCAATACTAAATAGATAAAATATAGACAAACATTTTAATTTTACCGTACCTGTAATTAGGAGGGTTGATAGCGTAAGAGGGAAGGTACGGAAAGAGATGTTATTGTTTGGAAAGGTGAAGGAAAGACATGATGATCTCTTTATTTATAAGAATAGTAGAGATCGTTGATTTTGCCATATCAAACTGAGTGGGAAGAGACAATATCATCAACAATTGTTTTTCTCTTAACTTTTCTTTTTTCCTTTACCAGTATCACTGCTAGCTTTCTTTGGATCTATGTCTAACCAGGGCTAATAAAGGGAAACAAAGGTACAATACAATAAAATTAAAAAAGAAAAGCACAGTAAAACACACAACATGGCGGTCGACTCATAAATGATTCCGTTCGGGTAAACTCGGTCGGCTCGGTTCGGCTCGGTTCGGCTCGGGTCGGCAATGTTGTTCGAGAACCGAAATTTTGTTTGATAACCGAGGCATTTTCATCTCGAATATTCTGTTCGAAAGCCGATTTGAGACGTTCTGTTTTGTTCGACATGTAAGACGCTTCTGTATGACCAAAGTACACACAGACACGCTTCTGTCTACGGTAAATTCTGGTTATTCATTGAACCTTGACTTAAAAGGGTTAAAATTGAAATGTTCAGGGAAACATCCACGAGCGAGCTTGTTTAACAGAGTAGTGTTTCTCGATAAAAGAGCTGTATGCCTGGAACTTCTTCCTTATAAACGGAATATGGTGGATATCAGGAATATTCGACTTCGTGGCTAAAACATGGCGGATTGATTTCTTCTCCGCCCCCGCAACCAGCAATTGGTTAAATCTGTTATCTGAAAAAATCATTATTTTCAAAAAAAAAAAATTCTTAATGCAATGTTAATTTGCATGAAAAAAAAATCTTTCTATCCAAAATATGTGTTCGGATTTAAATAACGCACAGAGGGTTGATAAACCGTAAAATAAACAGATCAACCAAAGATGTAAGGATCGGGATTAATCGAAGATTAATTCCATCGTCTGAAATGGATTAGTCAGAGTATTGAGAAGAAGACAATTTAAAAATGAGGCGTACAATTCCAAAAGTAGGTTCGGGTCATTCAGGACAATTTGTAAAGTTTATAGAAAAGGGTTTTCTTTCTAAGATCCGCCGTTACTCGTTTTAACAATCTTATTATTGGTCTATTTGGGGGGGGGGCATTTATCTCGCCATCCACCTCCTCCTCCTCCCTATCCTCCTCCTCCCCATCCTCCTACTCCCCATCCTCCTCCTCACATTAATCAATTTTTTTTTATTTGAGCCTTTTTTCATCATTTCGCCTTTCATTTTATTCTTTTATTGCACATTTCCACCAATTCTTCTTCTTCTTCTTCTTCTTCTTTTTCTTCTTCTTCTTCTTCTTCTTCTTCTTCTTCTTCTTCTTCTTCTTCAAGTTTTTTTAATTTCTTCTTTATTCTCCCTTCCTTCTTTTTCTTCTGTTTCTAATGCTCACATTTTTCTTTTTTCTTCTTCTTTTCTGCTGCTTCTAGTTCTCACTTTCTTTTTTCTTCTTCTTTCTTTCTTTCTTTCTTTCTTTCTTTCTTTCTTTCTTTCTTTCTTTCTTGCTCTTCCTTCTCCGTTTCTTTCAACTTCTTTTTTTTTATTACTATTATTTCTTCCTTTCAATGTTTTTCTTCTCCTTGTCGTTTTCATGTCACACTCGATTGGTTTCTCGTGATGTCACTTCCTGTCCTGTGCATTGCGAACTCCGAAACAATGGCGGCGATAGAAAGCACCAAATCTCAGACTTCCGCGCCGCAAAAGCAGAACAAAAGATTGGTTGGCAATGGGAATGCGAACAGAAGTAGATAGGGTGTTGTCGGGGTGGAGGGGGGTTGAAATTGGTCGCGGGGAGCAATCGGGAAATGCTACGGATGTTCCAGTTGAAGAATAACAATAGAAGAGACATAAAAGGAAGGTAGGGGTTCAAGTGTTGGTGGCAGGGGTCTAAAAGAGGTAAACATAAGGAAAAATTAATTGGGAGGGGGAGGGGGCAAGACAAGGAGGAAAATTGCGTAGGCTGGTCGGCGATGGGGATGGGACTGGTGGAAGTCGACGAAAAGATGAAAACAGGATAATGAAAAGTGGAACGAAGAAAAAGAAGGATAATCACAGTGGGGGGAGGTGGTGTAAGGAGGGGGAGTATCGCGGCGTGGGGGTGGGATTTGACGGTGATGACGGTTCTTGGAACCGGAGAGCCTTTAACTGCGGTAGCAGTTAAAGGCTCCTGATTATTTCGAAAGTGTTACTGACAGGGCACAGATAATGATGCGTAAGCGAGCAGCGACGTGTGCAAGTATGTTTGTCAATCCTCTTTGGGGATTTGCAATTCTTCCACTTCAGTCGGCCTTTTTCTTTAAGAACGGGAACAATCGCGGCTCTTCACAACTTCCTGTCTGTCCGTTCTCAAAGCAATGTCTCACTCTTTACCTTCCTTCGGTAAAGTGAAATACATTGACCGCCAGAGAACAATTACGAAATCTGGCTTGTAAAGCCACGTTTTTATAATAGGCAACTGAAGCAATATATATATATATATATATTTTTTAAATGATTCGTTCATGTGTTATATTTTCAATATTATTTCCCATAAAATGTTTGTTTTTAGTTGCCAACAAGATTTTTCATTCCTGTCTTCGACACAAGGTACAAGTTATTTGCGTTAAAAACGACAAAATACGCTGTTATAGCTTTGATGGTCGTCTACCTTTTTCTATAAATACTTTCATCTTAACCGTACGAAGAGCTCTTTGCAAAGGTGATTTAGTGATTGTGGGGAGTTTATTACTAATATTACTTTCTTTAGTTTCTTATAAATAGATTTTGCTTTCATATTGTAAATACTAATTTTGGCTAGTTTTTAGAATTGTTGTTTTATTACCCTCCGCCCACAGACAATGAATTGTAAATATGGGGCCTAGTTAGTATTTTCATAGAGACATTGTGATATTATGGCGATTGTAGTAAGAAAGGTACGTATGAATATGTTGTTTTGGTGTGAGGAATATTGTTTGTCCGATTGGGTCAGTGTTTGCGGCTAGCTGAGTTATAGTTAAGACAGAACAAGACCGTCCTTTCCCCAATCCCCACTTCGGCCAAGTGCCACATTTCTGTACATAACAGAATAAATATTGCTGTTTGCTAAGATGAACACAGTGAAGATTAAATTTTTAATATTTTTCAATATTTTCCCTCCTCGCAGACAAGAATTGTACATATGGGGACTAGTAAGAACTTCATAGAGACATTGAGGTATTATGGTGAATGTTAATTAAGAATGCGTTGTTTTGGTCTAAGGAATATTGTATGTTTGGGTCAGTGTTTGTGGCTAGCTAAGTTTATTGTTAAGACAGAGAACCGTCCTGTTCCCCATTCCCAATTTTGGCCTTCTTCCCTTTGTGTTTAATAGACAATGGGTTTACATTTTTTGTATTTTAAACAGAAGTTGGTCAGTGTTTTTGTGGCTATAAATTTAATGCTAAGTCGAACTCACTATGTTGCCTTTCTGTATTTTGAAGAAATAATGCTCTCTTTTTTTATTTAAGCGCAGTACTAGACTGGCGTCGAGATCTCATCAATTTACAGTCGAGCTGGCTAGATTTAACCGTAAATTCTATGCTAACAGTTTTTTCTCGCATATTTATTACTTATTGTTATCGTGAAACACACCTATTCTATAGTTAATAGACTTTCCCATCTAATATAAGTAGGAGTAGTAAGAGAAACGAAGGTCAGTCGATGTCAGTCTATGTCGGACGACAGTTAGTCGAATACGAAAGTAGTCAGCGACCACAACAAGATTACTCTGCGTAATACCTATTATATCAAGTTCCTAACGTTTTGTACGTCGAACCTATTTTAGGGCCGATCTATTACAAATACAAGCCTCCACTGGGAAATCACTCCACAACACTTATGAAACTCCCTTCCGGCTCCATGCTTTCTAGCCAACTTTAATCTTCCAACATTTAAATCCAATATCAATCGCTATCTACTGTCCTCCTGATTACTCTTCCTGTGTTCTCGCTCCTTAGAAATTGTTCCTGTTTCTAACTCTTCCACACCCAGTAAGCCATTGTGGTTTTAATGTTGACCATTGATGGTTAGTCTTTTCTTCATTCCTTTCCTTTACTAATTTCTCTAGTCATCTCTTTGGTTATCTTTCTTTCAACACAGAGTCATCATGTATCTTATATTGATAAGCTTGTGCCCACGTATCATAAACCCTGTTAGGGCTTTTTCTTTTTAACCAGTTCACCCTAAGCAAGGCGATGATGTCACTAAGATGCAAAAGTCTACTGGGAGTGCGAGAGATGAAAAGTTTAAAAGAAACCACAAACCAAATCCTAAACAGAAAAGGGCTAAACCTCTACTCCTGTTCAAAAGACCGCGGAGGAGTGCGAACCGGACGATAGATGAACTTATCTACTATCGATGGAGAAAAAACAAAGCAAACTATGAATAAAATATTAGAGATTAAGTGTAGACGTTAAAAGTTGAAGTAGACTTTAGAAGGAACCAGAAACCCAATCCTAAACAGGAAACAAGAGATAAACCTCTACTCCTGTTCAAAAGAATGGGGGAGGTTATGAACCGGCGATCTTAGTTCTCTTAGTATTCTGAAGTTGTGACCCTACAGTTCACAGGGGAGTGGATCTACGGGGTTAGAATTTTCCTATATGGACCAGTTGCAAAATTGTTATCTATTTGTTTATATTTCTTAGATGAAAGATTGTGTGGAGTTACCCCACTTACTTTCTTGAAAAACGCAGCTAGGGGACACTCCTTAAACCAATAAATACGAAAAGATATTCTCTGATATTTTCATTCTCTTATTTCACCCAGGACCGGTGTAAGATGTAAGTTGAACGCTGAGAAAAGCGCGCGCAAAGCCAGCAAGTTTCCCCTGACTTTCTCCGATGCAACACTATTCGCTAGGAATCCTTTTACATAATTTTGCATAAACACAAACAATTTACCAGTTAAAATGCTTTCTCCATCGATATACATTTTTGTAACACGCAATAATTTCCTATTGTCTATGCATACCCGTGTTTTTGTTAATACGTACTTATCGTTTATATATATATATATATATATATATATATATATATATATATATATACACATACACAGACACACACACACACACATATATATATATATATATATATATATATATATATATATATATATATATATATATATATACCGTATTTTCCTACCCCAAGACACTGCCCGGATTGAAAGACGCACCATAATATTGGAAAGAAATTTCCATGAAAAAAAGTCATTTTCATACAACACATTCACCATGCATCCCTGACATACTGTCGCCAAGTATTGTTTACATTAATCACTCGTCCAATTTTGTTTGTATGGCAATGACATACTAGTCAAGAGCAGAAAGACTCCCGCCGCTGCTCGTAAACAGAGCATGTTTAAGTTTGTGGCTCGGCTCCAGGAAGGTTTATAGTCTTGGAAATACTTATAAACAGCTAAGTACTGAGGTTACATTATATAAAAGGCTGAATTAGATAGCGAACATTATAGTGTAATGACTCAACATACAGATCCACGTCCCTATCAGTCAAGCCAATTAGGGGATCGTCCAAGTTTACTTGAGCTTGGAGGTTGCCTTACATTCGTTTTGGAAGACGCACACATATTTTCAGGGTTTTTCTTTAGGAATAAATTGTGTCTTGTAAGCCGAAAATACGATATATATATATATATATATATATATATATATATATATATATATATATATATATATATATATATATATATATATATCCTCCCAAAAATACGGTTGAGCTCTCTAGGGAAAGAAGTTGGTTTAAAAAAAACAGGAGCTCCTACTGATATTATCCATTATTCTTCAAGTAAAATTGAATTAAGTTCTATGAGCTGATAGCGTATTTCGTATAGAGAAAGATAGGGTTGTCCCTGGTAACGCTAAAAAAGTGGTATACCCTGGAGAAAAATGTCCCCAAATTGATAAAAAAAAAATTTTTAACGTTAATTTAACTTTAATTTTATGTTAAAATTAAAGAGGGAAGACCAAGGTATTTTTTAATTATTTTTTAATTTTTTTTTCATTTGCAGCATATTTTAAATTTAGTTTGAAAATCTTGTTATTTTTAGGTCAAAAATTAGGTAATATTAGCATTATTTTTTTTTTCACTATTTTCAGTTGGAAAATACACATTGATTTGGAAAATCTTGCAAAAATCAAGTACTTGTTGGATTTTTTATGAAACTTTCAGAACTTATTCACAAATGAATGAAATTATTTTAGAAATGTTTGTCTTTTTGAAAGTCATGGTATAAATATTTTTTTATATATATGTACACCTCCCGAACTTAATTTTATGAAAAAACTTCAAAATTTATTTTTGTATCTGGATTTTTTTATTAAATGCACAAGACTCTGAAGATTCTAAATCATCGATTTTTTTTGGTAAAAAAATTAGTAGAATTGTCCAAACTTTTTACCTCAATTGTAAATATACAAAACCCAATAAAACTAAGACAATATTTAATTAAAAAAAAGCTTTTATGACTTTTCTGAATAACATATACTAAGGTAATTCTTATCTGAAAAAAAAATTTTTGAAGAAAATGAATTTTTACAATAATTTTTTCTTTTTTTTTCTATTTTAAATACACAAATGACAAAAGTCACAAAATTTTAAAATATATTTTAAAATTAAGTTTCTTTAATGGAAATGACATATTTTGTTCTCTACTTTTTGAAGATCATAAATTTGAAAGCTTATTAAAATCTGACAACCAGTGATATTTTTAAAATAATTTTTTAATATTCCAACGAAAGTATGGATGCACAGTTTTGAAATAATGTCACATGAGTTAGACTTGTTTCTCTTGATAGAAGCAAGTTCTTTTTACTTCAGAAATGTTTCCTCAAATGTAAGTTTAAAAAAATTTGAAAGTGAATTTTTTTTTTAAATTTACAAACCAGGTTCACTTAAAATTAGAACGAATTACATCACATCTGCGCTACCGTACGATAAATTCCCTTGACGTAAGTTGTCAATATATTGAAACCCATCAATTAACACCCTTCAATCACGCACCCGCGCGAGTACCATGGTTGGAAATATCTCTATTAAAAAAATTTTCTGTTAAAAAAAGTAAGTAATGTTTCTTTCAAATTACATTAAGTATACTTTAATCATTCTAAATTTCCTAAGATAACAAAAAGAAGGTATAATTGAATTTTAATTGAATTTTGAACTAATTTTGATTTTTTCAAGTTTTTTGTTTACAAATTCGGCCAGAAACGGCCGATAAATCAATTTACTAGTTTTTTTTTTATTCAAGAAAACGAGATTTTTTAATAAAATTTTTAAAATTTATAGGAAGGACTAAAAAATCTGAAAAAATATTCAAAAATACTTTGGTCATCCCTGTTTAATTTTTAACATAAACATTTACAGTTAAAATTTTTTTTTTATCAATTTGGGGACCTTTTTTCTCCAGGGTATACCACTTTTTTTAGTGTTACCTGAGACGTACCTAGAGAAAGACGTTAAAATTCCCTCCCTTCCCTGCCGTGCGACGATGGTCTAGAGGTAAGAGATGACTAATCAGTCGGGTTTCGATCCTGGCTGAAAGCAATAGGATGTTTAACCACACTGAGATATGTTTTGTGGTACGAAACTTTATGACTGCCATAAAAAGACAAAAATTATTTTTATTACAACTCATGATGATATTAGATAAAAAAAAAAGTAAAACTGAAAAAATGGCTAGCTAACCGGTTTCGAACCCCGTTCAACAGAACTAAATCGAGGTTAATAAATCAAACAATTATCACTCATGGAAAATATGTATTGAAAAAAAATATAGCTTATATATTTGTTGTTACTTTGTTAATTTATTACGCTGACTCACATTTCGAGTCCATCATTTTTGTAGTGGGATAAATACTCCAGGAGACACGTGTTTTCCAACTAAGCACTCGACCGAGCACTCCCGCGACAACTGTGAACCATTATTTATAAATTTGAGTAAACTAAGAGTAACTAAAATTAAGATTAAGAATGAAGATGAAAGAAAAAACAATGAGTGTTTGAAAAGATAATATTGTTGTCGTAAGTACGCCATCAGAGCAGCACGATGTCTTAGCTACTGAATGAAGAGAGGAGCGAAATACGAAAGTGTCGAAAACTTTTACTCTAGTCTTTGAATAAATAAGACGCCGAACATAAAAGAAACAACGATCGGGTAAAGTCGAAGAGAAACAGTTTCCCGGCTTGAAGAGACCGGCAAACGGTTTTGCGTTCATCAAAGCGAAATTAGGCGAAACGAAAGAACGCTGAAAAAATAACAAAGGTACGTGCACTTTGATTACCAGTGATAATAATAGCATTAACACTGCAACTTTAAACACATGTGACGACAGCCTAATAGCTACAGCGGCGGAGCTAACGAACGCTAAATTAAAACAAAAAGAAAGTAAATTGGGTTTTAAATTTGTTAGGTTATTTTTCTCACATCAAGCGCTGCATTTTCAACTTTTGGCTTCTGCTGCAGAATTTCCTGGCAAGCAATAAATTCTTCTACTCGTTGCTTGCTTGCTTGGTTGACTTACCGACATATAAGCGCTTCTTCGGTTATTTAATATGTTTTATCTTTTAATCATTTCAACCAAAGAATGGCAATAAAGCCTCTAAGATGCAAGAGAGTGAAAAGAAATGTGAAAACGTTAGGGAAGAGAGAGGGCAATAAAAAAAATCGGGTTCAAAAAGATAGAAGATGGCGATTGACTCTGTCTATATTTCTGAGATGAAGTATTATGTACAGTATTTACATTAGTCGGACTATTGTCCTCATCTTTGTCGCCATATTTGTCACAACGTTTCGGCCGTTGTACGCTCCGGCTTTCTTCAGGTGGTTGGAATTTCGAACTGAACCCTTTATTTCGATCACTGGGGTAGACTGTTCTAGTTCCACGTGCCATGTTTGATGGATGTCAGTTATCAGTTATCTCCTGCTAATTTTCCCTCTGAAAGCTCTCCACTGCCTTAACAGGGTATTGAACTCACACTCTTTGGGTCTGTCACTGGATCTAACCAACGCCTTTATCTACTGTGCCATGTGTCCTTGATAACTGACATCCATCAAACATGGCACGTGGAACTAAAACAGTCTATCCCAGTGATCGAAATAAAGGGTTCAGTTCGAAATTCCAACCACCCGAAGAAGGCCGGAGCGTACAACGGCCGAAACGTTGTGACAAATATGGCGACAAAGATGAGGACAATAGTCCGACTAATGTAAATAATGGCAATTGACGTTGCATTTAAATAAGTACCTCCAACGATTCGCTGAAAAAAATAGCATACCATGATGAAAAAATGTCCCAAACTTAATTAAAGTTTTATCGTCAAAATCTTTATTTTACTAAGGGGAAGGACCAAAGGATGTTTTGTTTATTAAATTATATCTTTTGATCCTTTTTAAGGTGTTCGAAATTTTGCTTAAATACTTTTTTTTATTTTTTGAGTCAGCTAGGGGTAGAAAGATTAATATACGAAATTTTAGCGTCTTTTTTGCTGTGAAAAACATTGATTTGGAAATACTTGCAAAAATTAAATAACTGTCAAATTTTAATTAAACTTTCAGGACTTATTCACAAATGAATGAAATTATTTTAGAAATGTTCTTTTTTAGAAAATGTTGGTAATTTTTTTTTTTTTTTTTGCCACGTAATTTTGATATTAGTTAAAAGCAAAAATCCTTGTAAAATTAAAATCATCAATTTCCTTTTGTAAAACAAGACCCTCAGTTGCCGAAAATCTTCCCTGAATTGTAAAATAAAGCTGTTAATGATAGTGAAAATATTTTGTGCCACTTAATGTTGATATTAGCTAAAAGCAAAAATCCTTGTAGAATTAAAATCATCTATTTCTTTTTGTAAAACAGGACCCCCAGTTACCGAAAATTTTCTGGAAAAGCGTTTATATGTCGGTAAGTCAATCAATAAAGTTAAGACATTATTTAATTAGAAAAGCTTTGCTTTTATGAATATGATATATAATGGAATATACAGTCTTAAGAAAAAAAATTTTCGATGAATAAAGATTTTTCACAAGAACTGATTTCATTTTTTTAGATCTTTTAAAATTATAAATTCACTAATCATAAATAGAAAACCTTATTACAATATAGCGAACCCCTAATATTTCAAAATAATACATTTAAATTGTTTCTACTTTTATAAAACCAGACATGGAAAGAAAAGGGTGGCGTTTTTAATAAAGGTTGTTCCAATAATTTGGACTGATTTTAAGTGTGAATTAAGTTTAAGCGTCTAATGATTTTTTTCTTCTTTTTCTTTCAGATTTAGCAACTTAAGTCTTTGGCAATTTCAACCATACAAAGATTAACAATCAAACAACGTGTTAAGGTTATTAAAGCCTATTACGAAAATGGACGTTCAAACAGAAGTGCATTTCCCCGATTTTTTTTTAGTCAATATAACCAAGAGTGCAATTGGAAACGATGCAAACGTTGTTGTGGAGAGGTTTAATTCCTACGTGTGATGACGAATAGAGGGGTCTGGCTTTTTGGCCACATTCTCGTGCACTGCAGCAATGTTTTCAGCTGAACGGCGTAAACGAGCACGTAATGATGTTTTCGCATCTACCATCGACCCAGTTTGTTTTTTTTGGGTTTTTTAAGCGTTTCAACCCAAGCTAGGCGGGAAGCCACTAGCACGCAAGGGGTTCCAGAAGATTTGGAGCAAGATCAGATAGAAATGATAAAGGAAAGGATGAGGAGAAGGATAGTGGATAGATCAAGGCAACTGGAGATGTCGATTTTTACGAACAATTTTTCTAATTCCACTCTTGAAACTTTAACACGTTGTTAATGTCTTCTTGTCTGAAATTTCCAAAGACATAAGTTGTTAAATCTGAATAAAAAAGAAAAAAAAACATCATTAGATTCTAAAACTTAATTCAGATTTTCTTTATTTTAGGGTTCAATACCGCAGTCTAATGAATATTTCAACAACAGCAAAAAAAGAGGCGCTGATGTAAAAAAAACTGTTCTATAGTAGCTGGAAGGAAATGCGTAGAAAAGGAATCAATGAAAAATTATTCAGGTAAAGTAATTAGTGCCCAACGAGCCAGTCACGGCGCTCGCATCTCTACAAAAGGGTTTTATGCCTGCAAAAGAGATGAAAACTCTAACAAGGGAACAGTCATTTGTTATCTTCTCAAATCCATTCTCACTATTTTTGTTTTCAGTCGGAATTGTATTATGAATGTACTCCATAACTCATAGAACCTTAGACAGAGGACGTTTTGCATTATGATTAGTAAATCTAGTTTTCACTCAATATAATCTCAAAGGCTGAATTGTTTGGAGCGTCAAGAAACATTCTATTATTATTATTATTATTATTATTATTTATTTTCTTTTATTTCTGGCGTTTACACATTTCTTTCCGGGTCCCGCCCAGGGACCTAAGGTTAGAAATGGCGTCATGACACTTTCCACTGACAAAAAAAAAATAATTACATAGATAAAGCCCTTCGTAAAGTGTGGGCTGTACTTGTCAGAACAATTTTTTGTATCTCTTTGGGGCATGGACTTCCAGGAATCCCTTCAATTTGTCTACTGCAATCTTTTCCAACCAGTCCTAGGGCTCAAACTACAACAGGGATTGTTGATGTTCCCATATGCCACATTTTTGAGATTTCTATTTCAAGGTCCTTGTATTTTGACAACTTTTTGATTATCTTCAAAGATACATTGCAGTCAGTAGGGACTGCTATATCAATAAGGAGGCACTATTATTATTATTATTATTATTATTATTATTATTATTTCCTTTTATTTCTAGTGTGTACACATTTCTTTCCGGGTCCGACCAGAGACCTAAGTTTAGAAATGGCATCATGACATTTTCCACTGACCAATTAAAAAAAAAAAACAAAAACAAAAAAAACATATTTTACATCGATAAAGCCCTTCGTAAGTTATAGGCTGTACTCGTGAGAAGAATTTTTTTTATTTCTTTATCCCTTCAATGAGTCTATTTGAATTTTTCCAACCAATCCGAGGGCGACATTTCAGGTCGGTGGAAAACATGAAGCCAAGAAGGTGTAGAGGTTTTTACTTGCCTGGAGCCTAGCATCAACAGGCAAAAGATTCTCTGTGGTGATTAAACAAAAGCAGTTTTGTTTTGTAGACTTTAAAATTAAAGGGAGACAAGAGAATTCCACAGGTGGGAAGTGCGAGAAAAGAAACCGTTAGCGTATAAGTGGCGGTCGCATCTAGCCATTTCAACAGTAAAATGGTGGGACCTAGTTGCCAATCTAGTAGCAGATTTAAATTCATGTAGTTAGAGCACCAGAGAAAAAAGCTGGCATGCAAATATCTGTAGAAAAGACAGAGAGAAGCCACGTCAAATCGGTGAAAAAGTGACTGAAGTCAATATGCCTGGTCAGAATTGATTATATTACAGATCGTTCGTTGGATTTTGTCAAGAATCTCGTGATGTACAGCAAGAGAAAATGCAATAAAGAATTAGGGTTCACAAAGACAAAAGATGGCGATTGAAGTTGCATTTACATTTTTGCAGATTGTAGTTATTAGGGAAGCAAGAAATCTGCAGTTCCACAGGTGGGAGATGCGAAATCTTTGTATTTCTGATAGTTATTTTTTGAGATCTTCAAAGATGCATTACAATTTGCAGGAATGGTAATGCCAATAAGAAAAAAGTGCAATCTCTCTTTTTTGGGTCTTTGATTACGCTGTTTGGGTGATTAGCTTTGATTGTTCTGTGTGTATTGTAAAGCATCATAAAATTGTAAGAGATTTTATCTCTGTAACCGGATCTGGGTGATGTTCATACCACTTCCTTGCAGTTTCTTTCCTGTAAAAGATGCATATTTTCTCATTTTTTTTCTCTTTCTCTCCGATTCCTCATTCGGAACCGCCATCCATTAACCCCACCGTGCGTCATTGAATTAAAGAACCAGTAAAAGAGATCCAGTTTTCTTTGCATGAAGTACTGAATGGAGCTCTCTTCCGGTTTTTTGATTTCCTTTCCTGTTTGATTATCAAAACCTTAAATGCAATATCAGTTGTTAACTTCTGTCTTCTTAATTCCTGTTCAGATATGGCAATATTATTCAATTAGTATGGTAGATTTATAAATCTTCAAGATGGATTCTGACGAGAAAGATTTCCTGGTACGACAAAATGAACCAACTTTCCTAGCAATAGATGCAGCTATTGACTCGGTATAGCCGCTCCAATTAAAGTCAGTAG